GATATGTTAACTAAGGCATTGACTAAGGACAAGCATGAGAAGTGTCGACTTTTGGCGGGAATGGTCGAATCCTCCACATAAGTCGGGAGGGGAGGAGTTGTTGGGTTTCCCTCCTTTGTGGGACTCATCAATTTGCTAATTTTTTGGTGGCTTACCCGTGTATGACTCTTATCCAAGACTTGGTTTGGAGTCTTCAAGTTAAAAGGAATTTGGCAGCCACCAAAGACTATAAGTTTTGTCCTTTTCTTTGGTTCATCTTTTCTCTGTTGGTTTGGCAAGAAGACATATTTTCGGCAGTCTTTGGTTCAACAAAAATTCAGCCTTCTTCTTCTCCTTTTTGGTGCCAGAAAAATCTGCAAATTTGTTCTTCAAGTGGGTAACATTTCTTCACTTGATATTTGGGTTTCTTGCGGTTTGTTCTTGGAGATTTGGTTCACTTATTTTGTGAGGTATTTTCCTCTTGTGATTTACACCTTGGTGTGTTTGTAAGGCTTATGCCTTTTGGCCACTTTGTAATCTGATTTGGTGATAGTGGAAGAAACTGACCTACCGGTCGTCGTGGATGTACCTCAAGTTATTTGAGGGAACCACGTAAATCTTGTGTGCTTATTTATTTTCTGTTATTTTATTTATATTGCTTCCATTGATTTACACTTGTGGGAAAGCCTATTTTCCCAACAGGAGTCGGCTATGGCAACAATCTGGATTGCTACAACCAGAGGCCTTTTGCTTAGGCATTTAAAGGGACCGCTCGAGCCGTCTCCAGAGTTGCTTATAGGAATAAAATGTTTCATACATGCCAGTAATGTAATGAAGCAGTAATTAGTCTGCATAGTTTGGCTTGCCAAAATAGTAATTTGGTGCCAAATATATGTTTGTATCAAGGAAATAATCAATAAAAATTTCTATATTTCAGATAAAATAATGCTAGATGAACTTGAAAAATAGACTTAATAATCTCAACCATTGATTTCACTATAGATCTCAGCATATATTGGGACCCACTACCTATTCAATGGTTGAGATTATCAAGTTTAAGTTTAGTTTTTAAGTCTAATACTACATGACATTTTAAGGATATCGGCGGCATTAGGGCTGTTCACTTGAGCCGACGGGTATAAATTTTTTAATTTCATGTTTCGAACTTATAAGTTAGCGAAAATTATTTCTTTTGTCAAATCTACATGAGTGAGGGTGATGTTTCGAGTCGAATTCTGTCCAAAAAGTCACGTAAGAATGTAGAATGTTTCACAAATTTTCAAACTTTAACTTAGTAATTTTTAGGTCATTTTTACAACTCTAATATCAAAATTTTTGGTTGCTTTTGCCACTAGACTATTAAAATATTGGGAGAATTACATTCAGATTTCTTGAAATTTGTAATTTAACTCTTTAAGACTATCTGACATTTGAAATATTATACACAGAACCTCGAGGTTTATACAGGTGTAACACTTAGATTCCTACTGTCAATATCTGTTAGAATATCCATTTGTAAAATGAATCAACTAAAAATGTATGATCTTGACCCATTCTTTTGTACGATACTGAAAAAAAATTTTGGTATTGTACTCTAATAATAGTTGAATCTTTTTTCATCTAACATGTGAATCTACCAAATGCACTATCCCATCAATTTTTTTTTGTTATAAGGTGTCTAAACTTACGCTGATTATTTCCTTGAACTCAAATATTGGTGACCGTAATCTGAGTGGATTTAAAACATGTTTCCTTGAGAAATAAAGATGGTTGACCATTTTAGACTGATGATTCTTTGTATTTGTCACATTTTTCAAATTGGAAAGCTAGTTTAACTAAATTGAGCTCTTTAACTTTAACATGCCATAAATTCATACATGGATGTCGCATTCGCAAATGTAATACATGTTTTGCATGCAGAATTTCATTCTTCACGCACTAATTATTGTGTTGTTAATAAATTTGTTGTAATGGGTGAATTTTGTGAGGTCACCATGCACTTTTGTATCTCAACTAAACTCATGGTCAAGGGCTTATAAAAATTGAAGACTGAAGTGAGATATGGTGAAGAAGCTCAAGCAACAAAACAACATGAAAACGACTTTTTGAATCTTATCAAGCTTAGGTTGGGTACGATGAGATAGATACCTAGTTGCCCTAATTTATTTTAACTTAGGCTAATTAATTAGATTTAGAGGGCAAGTATTTAATATGTACACGACTTCTATGGTTTTTGTGTTATAATGTTTTTGAAATATTAGGGCTTTAGTTTTTGAAAACGTGTTTTGAAATAAATCATGGAATGGAGACGTTTTAGGTACCACCCCCTTGATACTTTTAGAGAGTTTAAGGTTCAAAAGTTGGATATTAGAAATTTGGCAAGAAACCTTAGAATCAAAATGATTTAGGATAAGTAAGACTAAAAATAAGAATATATAATGTAACTTTATTAAAATAAAAAATCGAAATCATGAAATAGTAAATATTGAAAATCAAGAGATACCAAAATGCAAACATTTTAAATATTTAAGGTCTATTAGTCATAAAGAGCAGATTGACTAAATGCTAGGACTAAATGGAGGAATGCATCCGGTGCGTCCGATTTATTGTGTGATAGACATATATCCCTAAAGTTAAAAAGAAAATTTTATAAAACAGCTAAGACCCAATATGCTCTACGAAATTAAGTGTTGAGCAACTGAGAAATAAAATGTTTAAAAGTTGTGTAGCAAAAATCGGAATGTTAAGATAGATGTGGAATAAAACTAAGAAAGATAGAATTAGGAACGAATATATCCAAAAATAGTAGAATAACACGAATAAAAAATAAGTTAAGGGAGAATTTTTTTTTTTTTTTTGATTAGTTAAGGGAGAATCGACTTAAGTGGTTTAAACATATTTATGGACAGCCTACTAAGGTACAAGTGAGAAAAAAAAATAACTTATGATTTAATTAAAAACATTGTACTGAATAGAGCTCAATAGCCTCGACCACAAAAACGTGGAGACATGGTTTTATTGAGTTGAGATATTCTTTCTGTGTGAACTTTTGGGTCTTTTTGTATGTAATCAACAGGATACTCTTTATTTTTCACTTGACCAATTGTAAAAGTATATGCGTTGTTCTCTCAACCAAAAGAGTCCGTTGGGTTGGGTGATTTTCATGAAGTTGCAAAAGCTAGGTGCTATCCTTGGGGACAAACTGTCAAATTTAGGACTGCTTGCGCAGAACATAACACGGTCTCCTCCCCTATGGCACCAAGATATCCCAATGTAGTGCATGGAGCATATGCGAGTAATTTAGTACATGAGACTTTTGTCACTGCATTACTCGAGAAGGATCATATGTATACAAACTTTATTCTGTCACACATTGGTATGTAATCATGGAGAAAGAAATATGCGCGCGGTGGCAAAAAAAGCATCTCGTCTCTGTATAATGCTTCTGAGAAAATTCTCGGGCAAGTTAACTGCGTAATTGCATCTGCCTTGTTGAAGAAAACACAGTGCTGGAGGTTTCGTCATCGATTTTCTGAGTTATATTCCAACCAGAAATGAGAGCATGAATTAACAGGAGCCCAAGAATTCCGAGTCCTCAATTTTGTTTCCATAATGAAATGACACAAACTATATGTTAAAGTAGTGAATAAGTTAAAAGCTGTAGCTAAAATATTCTGGATGCATTGCAGCAAATAATTAACCACAATCCTCTTTGAAAAGAGTAATCAATTGGAAGTTACTAATAAGTAACTATTGATGAGAGTAAAATAGCCGAAAACAATGACTATAAAATGACATCTAGTGGAGAAGATAAATGATACACTCACATTTTCAATGACCCTTGATTTGGGTATTATTAGTATTAGTTTTAGATTATTTAGGAAACAGTTAGTACTATAATTAAGGCTGTTTATTTAGTCTTTCTATAACCGAAGTCATTTTGATTGAATTATTAAAGGAGTCTTTTCCTATTAGTTCTTTGTTCCGTGTGTTTATTCATTATTTTTCATCTATGAAAGTTATGAAATAAGACATTTGAACCCCTTACAATAGCTGCCTAAAAATTGTTTGTCGATTGCAATATTTATCGATCCCAACAAATTTTGAAGCAACAATTATATAAAGTTAGTCATGATCATAAATTTTCAGTTGATTCAATTATAGCTATTAATTATACAAGTAATAACGTAAATAAAAAGAAAAAAGAGGGATACAGTATAGAAGTATTATTTTCGATACCATAATTAAATCCAAATCGTTAAATTTAGATCTCGTCTTATCATTTTTTCCCCACGTTTCTTTGGTCACTATTGCAAAGTTTATATGGGAGCATGTGATGAAATTCAAACCCACAACTTATCGTTCTAACGGGCTGCACAGTCTTTAGGACACCGCTGACTTCTTCCCCACATCAATGTTACTGAAAATGAGTCGTTGCAAATGAGGCTTAAAGTGACAATGATCCAACCAGGAAAAGATCACATGGGCAGCCCGACACAAAATGAGGCTTAAAGTGAAAATTTAAATGAATTGTTTTTTAAAATATTAAACTAAAATAAATTTTTATTGAATAAATATCTAAAAATATAAAATGAGGCCTTAATGATTTTGGGTTTAAAATGACGGCTTCAATAGTTATA